TTACACTTAAACCTAATTTTTAATTATTCTGTTTGTTTACAGTGGTTTTGTACTATGAACTTTATATGAGCATTCAGTGAATTCTCCAATTAAATTAGATTGAAGGTCTAGGAGGAGGGAGTTTCAGTACCGTTACTGAGAGTCCATTACACTTCTCACATGGAAGCTACAGGAAAATGGCTAATCCCAGAACCTAGATGTACTACATGGGCTTTAGATTATCATATGACTTAAACAGAGGAAGGGGAGAGAGGCAGACTTTTTTTTTCCATTGTTCTTATTAACTTCTTTGTTAGCTTCAGTGTCAGAGAATGCAGAGCCTACACCTGAAGAGCAAGACAAGACGCTTGATAAACCAAAACAGAAAAAGAATCGTTGTTTCATGTGCAGGAAGAAGGTTGGACTTACTGGTAAGAAATTCTGATTTCACTTTTCTTAGAGAGACTTGTTTAGGCTTTGGACCTTTGAAAGGTTCTTCTCTTAAGGGGAAGATGGGGCATGATCATCTCGATGTTGTTGATTTGAACTAAAACCTGGCCAAAGGTGCTTTCAGCTGGACTCTTACTAGAGTTAGTCATTCATATATTACTTTGTTTTTCAGCTTCCTGTCTTTTAAGTGAGATTCATAATTCCAAATGCTTCCCTTTGGAAGTCTGGTTAGCTGAGGAATTGGATGATAGTTTGCTGCTGTTTGCAGTGGTTCAGTGAAAGGGCCTAAGAAAGCTTGAGTTCTGTGGGGTGAAGATTAATACAGAAAAAGAGCAGGAGGTGTCTAGGAATGTGTTTTGTGTTAGTGTCTTGTGGTAGGAAGGAATGGTCAAGTCCAACTTTACTGTAATCGCTTAAAAATGTATTATTTGTGATTCTTATGCTTTCTGCAGCAGAGGCTCTTTGGCTGATTGACACTGGTGACTGAAATTTATTGCTAGTGAGTGAACACATTCAGGATTTAAAACAAACCAGTATAATTAAGAATGTTGAAATGGCTAAACCAGTATTTCTGTCCACAGGGTTTGAGTGTCGGTGTGGAAATGTTTACTGTGGTATGCACCGTTATTCAGATGTACACAGTTGCTCTTACAATTACAAAGCTGATGCTGCTGAGAAAATCAGAAAAGAGAATCCTGTAGTTGTTGGGGAGAAGATCCAGAAGATCTGAACTGCTGCTTCTGCTGGAACACAAAATCTGACCATCTGCAGATTAAATTGACTTGAGCTTTTTTCCTTAGTCATCAGGAATGTAGAGCAGTGTATCTTGCCTAGACCTTTTAATCATGCATGTCATCAGATGAATAGATTTTTTTGTTTTTGTTTTTTGTTTTGAAAATGACTCTGAACATTTATTTTCATTGCAGTTTTCTGTGGCTGAAGACTTAAGTAAACTTTACAAGTATTATCCTTTAAGATCATTTTAATTTTAGTTGAGTGCAGAGGGCTTTTATAACAAATGTGGAGAAAATATTGGAGGGCTGTGCTTTTCCAGGATAAAACATGCATGCATTAACTTTGCAGTTTATTTTCTTGTTGTATATAGCTTTTCTCTGCAGCACAATTTCCTTTTTTTGATAATGCCTTGTATGGCACAACTAGTTATCAGTAACTGAATGTATTTTAATCATTATGGCTGCTTCTGGTTTTTTTTTCCCATTAACGAGAGGTTATACATGTTCGCATATTAGCTTGTTTGCACCCTCTACCTATTTATGTATGAATCATTTGTAATGAGAGTGTGTGCTGAGATTGTCTGCGTGGTTTTTTAATTGGTTTTTGTTTTTGTGTGTGTGGGGGGAAGGCTGTATGCACTTCATTGACTGCAGGTTTCATTGGGATTACATCCATCAGTCTGTCTGTACACAAATATGAAGAATGATCTGAAGTATCTGTGCTGTATTTATGTTTATTCACGTCTTAACTTTGATTAAATAAAATTTAAAAAAATCAAAGCCCCTGTGGCTGTCACTGGCATCTGTAATTTGGATTTCTCTTGCTTTATTTTCATGGGGACCTTCCACTGGTGGTTCTTAGTGTATTTATCCACAGAGACCATCCATATCCCAGTGCCAGCTAACATCTGATTATTTTTTTTAACAGTTTCACCTATAATGATCAGACTACATGTCTCTGTGCTTCCTGTGCAGTGTCACTCGTGCAGGAGTTGGGGTCATTTGTGATGATGTACTTCAGTTGGGGGCAGTCCTACAGGTAAAACAGATGTGGCCTGCGGCTAGGCTGTTGATCCATGCATGTGATTCTGCTTCTAGGAAACACAGCTGTGGGGTTTGTGATCCAGTCTCTGTCAGGCAGCACTGCACAGATGATTCTTAAGACAGTTTCTCCAGTGAGATGTCCGTACTTCTGAGGTTTGAAATCCATAGACTTCAATGTTGAACACTACCAAATGTTGAACACTACCAAAACCACCCTCCACGTGCACCTTAGTGGATCTACAGGCTTGTCAGTGGTCCCCATTTGGGGGTAGGAGGAATTGTTCTTTTATTGTCTTGTGAGGCTGCTCAGTAACTTTCTTTGAATTCAGACTGCCTTGTCAGATCAGAGTCTGTGCCTCAACCATTCAACCACCCTAGTCATCTATACAACTTAAAGGTTGAGTGGTTTATGTAGTACCATGGTAACTTCAGCCAGTGCTGCTTAGCACCAGACTTAACAGTACACTAAAGTAGAACTAATTCCTCTCCAGATGGTACTGATCTGCCGTTGAAATTTCACTTGGTGATTTGCTGTTGCTTTCAAGCATTTGTGAAATAAATGAGATTGTGTGGCTTTATTTAAAATGTTAAATTTTTAATCAAAGCTGGCTACATTCTTCAAAATTCTGAATGCTCTTTAAAAGCTATGGCTGGCAATTAGTAGATAAAGCACTACATTTAGCATATAAACAGTACGCAGCAGAAGGAGCTTTCTGTATCAGACAGCTATGGAAAGTAATCTGCAAGATGCAGTGATAAATGAAGTATCTTGTGCTTGCAAAAATGACTTAACCACAATCTGAAGCACATGGGTTTTCTAGTAAAAGAGGGAATAAATAACTCTGGCAGGGTTTGGTAATTGTCTGCCTTTTTGTGGGTCAAAGATCCTGTATTTCCTCAGAGCATTTACTGACCTTCCTCTTGCAGAGCACCAAGCATGGAAGAGCAGCAGCATCTTCTCTTTCATGGGTGTTTCTCAGTTTGCTTTTCTCTCTGCTGCTACTTCCCTATTCTCTAATCCTTCTCAGTTTGACTCCTCCCTCTTCCCTCTTTCTGGTGTCTCCTCCTCCTCCTAAAAGTGTCTTTTTTTTTTTCCCCTCCCCTGTGCCCTCCCCTCCACTCTGCCTTTCATCTGACGGTGATACTTGTGGCCAAGCAGAGAGGAGACACTGTAGATCCACAATGGGGGGGAAAGCCAATCCTGTTTGTATTTTCTGGTATCTGAGAGACTGAAAGAAGAAAAAGTACAAGAAAAGCAGCTGCCTCTGGAATTTACATACTCCCTTTACCGCTGCCTGTTACAAAGCAACAACTCTTCAGACCCTCGATTATATGGTAGGAACCGTGACTCTGCCAAGAGGAAACCTGCCTTGTGCTGCTGTGGCAGTACCCACCGTGAGGCAGATCAGCATCAGGCGACTGCTTCCACGCCTATCGTTCTCAAAGCAGTCTAACAAACCTTTGGCCTGGCTTGTGCGTATTTCTCAGCGTTAAGAATATTGAAAGAGTATATGGTCCCGATTATACAAACTTGCATTCGCACTGGAAACTCACCTTTCCCTGACGCTTAAGAATTGAGCGTCGTCTTTGTTGGCTTTGGCATTGGCTCTGTGTTATCATGGTGGCTGATCTGCTTCTCCATCTGAAGAGCTAGTGAAGCTTTCTATTTTGTGTCATCAGCTTGAGATTAGCAGATGAACATTTTAATACCAGCACATTCGCAGCACTACACAACACTTGAGTAAATGTCTTCTCAAGATGCACAGAGTGTTTTAAAACATGCTTTCAAGATGTTTTGGTTTTGTTTTTGGAATAAGCAGGTTGTACACACAAATCCTATAACCTTGGCATGAAACCTTCACTGTGTTAAAGACATTTTCAATAATCAGTGGTGTGGAGCTGTACATTAGGTACAGGTATTTTACAGGAAATTGTACAGAAGTTTGTGCTGGGCATTGTATTATTTAAATAAGAACCCCTTTCAAACAGCACCACGTGAACTTGCCGTCTCCACTAGTGAAGAGCTGTCACAGATGGGCTGTCGTCAATGGTGGTGTGTCATCTTACACCCTGTATCTGGCTCTACAGCTTGCTGCATTTCTTCTAATGAGTCTTTTCTGCCAAAAAAAAAAAAAAAAGCTGAGCAGGAAACCAGTCCTTTGGCTTGGCAGTCACAAACATCTCACCATTTTTATTGAAAAGGAGTGTTCTTTGCTATTTAGAACTAATTTCAAGGATATTCCCTCACTGGTTTCTACTTTTGCTGAATATGGGTGAACTTTCTTCTGCAGGTGGGGGAAAGCTGGGGCTGGGAGCAGAAAGACCAGCCTCCCTTCCCTGCTCTTTATGGTTGGTTGCACATGTATCTCTGGTTTTAAGCTGCTGGAGCTATCGGGAGAAAATGGAAGGACTCTGTCAGGTGCAGCTTTACAAAACTAGCACACGACGTGCAGTTTCAGGTGTGAGTCGTGCAACTTCCCAAGGGTTCCTGAGCTCCTGCTGGAAGAACTGCTCGGCATGGGCATGATCGTTTCACCGTCGCTCTGGCATGTTAAGTCGCCCCTGGGGAGGTAAATGGCGGAGTTACCTCTGCTGCTAGAGCTGTCTGCTCGGGTCCCCCACCCGCAGCGACGTACCTGTCAAAAGAAAGGCCCAGTGAGGGTTTATCGCGCAGGGAGAGCCTGTTCCTCCAGCCGCCCCTGCCTCCCGGGAGCAGTTGGAGCTGCGGACTCACACAGACCTCTGGCACTAATTAACCGGGGCCGCTGCCACCAGAGCAGGCAGAGGGGTGGGATGGAGACGGGTCTGCGATTGGTTTGGGGCAGAGGGTGGGATTTGGTGCTTCTGTGCCCTGGGTTGCAACATCTGGAGAGGATCTTCCTGCTAGGAAGCTGCATAGCAGCCCGGGGAGAGGGGGCTCTTGTCCGTAAGCGGGGACTGCGTGGTGTTCAACATGTCTTTCATCCAGGTAGACAAGGACTCGGATTTTCCTCTCCAAAATCTCCCCTATGGGGTTTTCTCCACTAAGGAGGAGGTGAGTAACAGCAAACGTTGTCCTCGGGGTGTTGAAATTGCTCAGAGGCTATGAATACGAGCAGAAATTCCTGGCAACCTGGGAAAAAGGAAAACTTCCCAGCCTGAGATGCTTGCACGGGCTTCCTGACTTGACAGTAAAACTGTAGCTGCTGCATTGTCTTTTTTCTTAATGTGGTTCCTCTGATGACAGCTTCTTCAAAATTGCACAAAAGAAATGAAAAGTGTCAATACTTACGAGAAGTACTTTGGCTAATGCAATAGTTTTTGTGTGATTTTGACTGGTTTTGTGCAATCATTAAATCTGCGGTTGATATTTTCACTCTCTAAGTAGAGGCACGGCACAGTTTGCACTGACATTTTTAACTCGGTTCCTCATTTTCGTTGTGACCGAGTGCAATCACACCGTCACCCTTAAGAAACCACATTAAATAATCTACCGTTAATCCTGTAGCATCCAGTCCCTCTTGCACAGCATGAACTGACAAGGGAAAAGTGATGCCTGTATCAAAAACACCGTATTTGCCAGCGAGTGTCATCTCCTGGTCTGTTAAGAGCCCGCTTTTGGTGAGTTTGTAGGGCTGGCTGCAAAAACGTTAAAGCAGGGCACAAAATGTGTGTTTCCTTTCTGTCTTTGCAGCTGACCTGTTGTGTTTTATTGGGTGTACACTTAAGCAACGATGCATTAAATGTGTAAAAGTGTGTTACATTTAAAGCTGTGCCCAAAGGCTACAGATTGAGCCAGCTTCAGGTCTTATATTTTATGACATAAGAAAATACGGTGCAACCTTTTTTTTCCAGGGAGGTAGCTCCCAGTTCCCATTTTCATGAGAACTGAGCCCAGCTGGGCTGAACCTCACACCTCCAAGTGCGTGACGGGACGAAGCCCTGGAGATGTGCCCTCCCTGAGAAAGGGAAATGAGCCAAGAGCCGCATCTTGGAAGGAAAAAGTGGAGAATTTATTTGTCATTGCTCACAGAAACTTCACAATTATCTCCTGGTTTCTGCTGTCCTGGCTTATCTGTGTAGGTTTAAAAAAAAAAAAAAAACCAAACAAACCAGAAGATTGTGTTTTCTGATCTGGTATTTTCCAAAGATAAAACCCAAGATGGTTCGTTTAATCTCTTCCTAGATGGGTGCATTGTTATCTAGCAAGTTTGGATTATTTCCACCTTCTCCAGTAACTGTTCTCTGAAGAAAACATCATCACTTAGACCCTATGAAAAGAGAGGCAAGGACTTAGGGAAATTGTTTAGGAAAATAATATTGTAAAAGTAGCCCAATGTTTTAATGACATCAAGAAGTTGATGTCATTCCTGACGATCCCAGTTACAGATTAACCTGATGTGACCTTTAGAGTTTCCTGCAGGAATGTTTGCTGAATAAATACACATTGTCATACTTGGAATCTTGTTTAGAAATTCAAGGTTGAAAAATAGGTTTAATAGCATGGATTTTCATAGATGGTTATTCCCTTTTGGTAAGCTAGTTTTCATAACGACTGCAACTAGTTTCTTTATTTGCCTAAAGACATGAATAATTGCAATTTGTCTTTGAACACTACAGCATTTTTATAACCCCCTGTACAGCTGTGGCAGAGCCGCAGTGGGATCGTCCGTGCTGCTCCCGCGCCGTCGCCGCCAGCTCCGCACGCGCTTGGTGCCGGCCCTGCGAGAGCTGCGGCGGATGAACAGGGTCTTTGTGTCCTGGGTTGCATCTGTGCGGCCAATGCAGCCACAATCTATTGTAGATGTGGGAAGCTGTCCCTGTAGTGCGGATCTAGACTAGGGTTTGCATGCGAGTCGTGGGCTCCTTGCATGGCATGAGGATGGGTTATGCAGGGCAGCCTTACTCGACGTGGTACGGAAATAATGTGGTTCCCGGTACCGTCAGTGGAGTTCAGAGCACCCTTCATCTTCTGGGAAGGAACTGTGGTGCAGAAATGCCTACTTCTCTCTCCAGTTACACCATTATAGGGATAAGATCAATCCTGCCCATAGCGTGTCTATGCATCGGTTCCCTGCCTGTAGGAGGAGGAATAGCGTTTTCCTACTTCATAGTGTATTTCAGATGTATGAGCTTATTCTGAAATGCTTGTCGTTAATGAGGAGTGGGGGAAAGGGAGCAGGGAAAGAAACCTCTATTTGTTGTCCTATCCTTCCCGCAAAAGATGGGGATGAGGAGAATGCTCTCTCCCACCCCTCAACGTCTGCGAGGAGTCTGCAATGATGCTCTGTCTCCAGGTCTTAACATTTTTCAGCAGCCAGTCTCATCGACTAGCTTTTAATGGCAAATTGCTGTGAAATCGGGTCCTTGTCCCTGATGGATTAAATGCTCTGTGGTCACTGTCTGCCCCCGTGCCCTCCTTGGAGGGTTTCTGGGTACAAGCATAAGCTCTTCTTCTTTTCCCCTCCCCTCTTGCTGCTTTGCAGCCTAGGCACAGGCTCGGGGTAGCGATTGGAGACCAGATTTTGGATCTCAGCGTCATTAAGCATCTGTTCAATGGACCAGCTCTTGCCAAACATCAGCATGTCTTTGACCAGGTATTTGTCGTAGCGTCTGTTGTTCTAATTTCTACACGTTTTAGAAAGATCTGTAAAAGTTTTTAGAAACTTGTGGTGAGATAACGAACACGAACTGGAAATGCGTCATCAGGTGGGCTCTGCTTACAGGGAAAACTCATCACACCTGCGGTAGCAAGGAGAGCAGAGGCATCGGGGGTCCAAAGCACATTTTCACTGAAAGCTTCATCAGACTTTGGCGATGCAGGGATCTGACACAAAGCCTAAACATTACTTCAGTCCTGCCTGTGCCTTCAACGCTTCATGGCAAGGAATCAGATGGCATTTTAATGACAGGGGGGCTATGTTAAGGGAAAAGGTAAATACAAATGACCTGTGGTTACAGCTAGTTGGGATACCAAAGCCACTAAGGCCTGAAGTAATGTATTAGGACGGGCATGATGCGAACATGCAGCAGGTCCTGCTTCAGAGGACTTGTGGTGGGAGGACAGGCGATCTGGGCAGCCACCGCTGCGTAACCCTGGGATGAAAGTGCAGGACATCTTCCGTGAACGTGAAGGTTAAGCAAAACGTGGTCTTTTTTTCTGCCTCCCTGCCTCTCTGTGTCACCGGTCAGCCTACCCTGAATGCCTTCATGGGGCTGGGCCGGGCGGCGTGGACGGAGGCGAGGGCTTTTCTCCAGAAGCTGCTGTCAGCCGGCGAGCCGGCCCTGAGGGACAACACGGAGCTGCGGAGAAGGTGAGGGAGCGGAGAGTCGCTGTGGGACGCGGTGACCTTTCAGCTGTGCCCTGCATCGTCCGGATCACTCGGTGATCCAAGGCACCAAAATCGAAGGTCTGAACGTGGCCACCTGCTACCTCCATGGGAATTAACTGGGGTTTGGGCATATTGAGAGCTTCCCTCTCTTCATTAATCCTTTAACTGCCCACAGATCCGGGGTGTCACCCTTCGCCTGGGAACACCGAGCTCTGCCCTGGGGTGTGCCCAGACTGGCTCTCTGGCCACATCCCCTCCACCACAGCCTTTGACGGAGACGTGGCGGCAAGGGTCTCCACTCCACCTCTCCCACCTCCCCCAGCACTGCCCTGCCTTGTCCTGGCCGGCGCATCTGCTGTGCGGGGACACTCCTCCAATTGCTCCTCAGAAACTACCTGGCTTCCCTAAAACCAGCCCTGCCCTCGCCGGCTGGCGTCGGA